TATATATATACATTTGTTTGTGTGTAATAAACATCTAACAAGTGAGATACATATATAAGATATGGAAAACAAGGGACCATTTGGACCTTCCAAGTTGTCCTTTCACACCAACCCTTGAGAAAAGTAAAAATTTAAGTCTATCCTTTTTTTCTAAGGAAGTCATTGACTACCCTCATAAACCTGTGTAAAATGTTGGTCTCTACTACATCCAATGGCAACTCATTCTACAGGACAGGAGCTCCTTTAGAAAAATAAAATTGTCTTAACTGGACCCAAGTCTGTCTTTTTTTTTTAAACCTTAGACTTGTGTCCCGATGTCTTCAGAGTCTCTAGAAAAATAAATTTAGAGATTACCCTTCCACCTCTGAATTATTTCATAGTATGTATCTCTCCTCTGAACCCTTTCTAATCAGTTAATATCCTTTCTTAAATAAATTGTACATACCATTCCAAGTGAGACCTAACTAGTAATTTGTATAGGCAGATAGTTACCTCTTTTGAGATGTAATTAATATGCATATAAATACACCCTTAAATTCTTTTAGCTTTACTTCTAGCAGCAAAACATTTCTTTGATGGTTTGAGTGACTCATCTGCTAGGAAGGATGCTTTTCTTCAGAAAATGTTTTGATTGTGTTCCCACCAATATTATGTGTGTGGTTCAAATTATATAACCCAAACATATTACCTTTACCTACTATGGTTAAAGGTCATTTACCAACTATTTTTCCAATTTGCATATTGATCCAAGTCATTCTGTAATATCTCAGCATGCTAAGTACAGCTAGAAATACCCAAGAGTTTAATATCATCAACAAACATTACTAAATACATCCCACCAATACCATTAATCTAAATAAGAGGAACAAACGCCCAGTCACTGACCCTTAAGGCATTCCACTAGTAATAAGGGTCCAGTATGACTGTACTACTTTATCAACAGCTTCCTTTCTCCCATTCAATCACCTCACAATCCAATTAACTGGTCTTTCCCAGTCTTTACTAATATGATTTTCTTAGTTAATCTTTTGTTTGGCATATTATCAAATACTTTTTGAAAATCTGAATACACGAGTCCACCCTCTTTCTTTCATTCGGGTAACAAGTGACTAAATAAAAACAGTATGAACAATCGTCAACAGATGGTGAAAAATTTCAAGATCTTGTTATGTGACTCACAGCACAGTGGATGACCACAGTAATTATAAAACATATGGGGATTAGTACAAAGTAATTATAGAACTTCTAAAATAAATCAAAAACTGATGAAGGAGAAATCACTCTTTAAAAGTGTTTAAACTTTTGCATAATTTTTAAACATTGGTGTTTTGTGACCATAAAACTTTGGAAAAACTCATTCCGAAACACACTTACCTCCTTACTATAGCTTTACCCCTACAAAAGTTACGCTTTTCTGCCTATTTAAGCATTGGTATGAATCTCACCTTGCTTGCTTCAGCTTTTGTACTCCACTATATTACCCATACCAAGTTGAATATTGTGATTCTCTCCACCCACGTCAATGTACCCCCTATCCCAGATCCATATATAAGCTCCCTGTTATTACTTCCTGTTCACTTTTTTTTTATGGCACTTGATCATCAGTGTGGATTAGTATTAGTTATACTCACACATTAGACAATTTTTTTAGACCATTTCTTATTGAGCTTTGAGTTTGTTGTCTATGTTCTTTATTTTACATAAAAAATAAATATTTCTTATGTTTTTGGATATGAATTCACAAATTCATGTCTCTGACATGTAGTTGGCTAGTGCTTCTACTCTGCCACCTCTGGAGTCTAGTGTTACCCAAGCATGGGGGTGGGGTGGGGTGCTTTCTGTGGAGGTTGCCCAGTCCTTCATATGCAGAGAGGTAGAGTATTACATGAGTTGGCTCAGAGGGTAAGCTCACAACAGACCAGGGAAGGAATGGTGAGAATTTGGACACTACTTTTTTGGCACTTTTCAGACAGTTAATCACAAACCTAGGATGGACATCCCACCTCCTGCACCATTTTTGGAACTAGTACATCAAGTTTGTAATGTCTTGAGTATTTCTCCTGTAGTCTTTGATAGGTTGTTTAGGCAGTGTTCATAATGAATCTAAGTTTCAAATGGACAGCAAAGGCCATTTGCTTAAAACAGGGCCTTCACGATGGGAGGACTCTTTAAGAAGCGGTTTTAGCCCTCCTAGTAACT